AGGTGCGTCTCTTGTGAATATCAATTGATTGTTAGGTTTTCTCTTTTGAAATTACATTATGACGCATTCACATGCATTATTAATACAAATACATTTTCCAGGGCGAGACGATGAGGCAACCACAAGCACTTCCACTGGTTAAAGAGGGAAAAATGCACAATATTACCGTGATTACAGAGCACGGAAGCGAGCGGAGCAGGAACTAGTGATCCTTCTACGACTGCTGATTCTTCTACAATTAACGTCGCAGGTTGCGAAGTTTAACTTCTTCTGCGCGGAGGGATTCCACGCACTATTTTTATTTTTTATTACATACAGTACCATCTCGATACAGCAAACAACTGAAAACAGTTATTTAGAATACAGCTTCAAAAAGATATGTTACATCATCACACAACAACAACAACAACATAGTAAAGTGACATCTGCTTTCAACAATGCATGTCTTATATACAGATTCCGTAATGATATGCACGGATGACGTCACTTACACTGTCCGAAAAAAATCTGTTGCCAACACACAACCGAAATTTAATTCTGTTAATTTACTGTATTCACAGGAGTAAAAAAACAGCTCCATATTCATTATAAGAAAATCGACATTCATCATCATCATCATAGTTGGCCAGACAGCCCAATGAGAGCCAATGCCTTCCTCTGAAGATTTCTCCATGACAACTTCCGATTTATCTTTGATCTACATTTCTTTTCATTAATTGCTAGAAAATCAGACTCCATTGAGTCAGGCCATCTCAACCGCGGCCTTCCCCGCTTTCTTTTTCCAGTGGGTCTAAAAAGCGGTTTTCTTTTTTATTGTGTTGTCATTACTGAATCAAATCACGTGGGCGATCCAATTCATTCTATTTATTTTTATGTATTTAATAATATCAGGTTGTTTATAAATCTTGCACAGTTCAATGTTAAATCTCCTTCTCCAGTTATTGTTTTCATTTACACCACCAAGTACACTCCCCAAAATCTTTCTCTCGAATATTGCGATACAATATTCCTCCAATTTGGTCACTGTCCAAGCTTCAGAAGCGTAGGTCAAGACTGGCCGGACAAGAGTTTTGTAGATTAAAAACTTTTTTTTTCTAGACAGAAACCTAGATTTAATAAATCTTCTCAGCCCATAGACAGCCCTATTCACCAGATAGAGTCGGTTTTTTATTTCAGGAGTAATTCTGTTGTCAATGGTAATAATTGATCCTAAGTAAGTAAAACACCTCACTGTTTCAAATCTAAAAAAAATTATTTCGCGATATGGGTCTGGGACTCTGTTTCTTGAGAATAGCATATATTTTGTTTTCTCTACATTTATGACTAAGCCCATTTGCCTTGCAGCCACCTCAAGGGCAAGAAATGCCTCTTTCAGGGCAGGAAAGGAACGAGCAATTATATCAACATCATCAGCGTATGCAAGTAGTTGTACTGATCTAGTAAAAATGTGACCACCACTGGTATTGATGTTTGAATCACGAATAACTCAAGTGCAATATTAAAAAGAAGATAGGAGAGAGAATCTAAACCTGTGAATGTGTCAAGATTTTCTGACAGAGACCCCAGAAACTTAATCTTACACTTTGAATCGCCATTCATTTTCGAAAGAAAAAAAAAAGAGAAATCACTTTCCGAGCAACCCAATACTTTGACAAAAGAAAAAGTTAACAAGCGCGATATAGACTGAAAATATTAAGTTGTTGTTTCTATTGTCAAAAGCAAGCCTGCTTGGGAAACCAAACGAACTTAAAAAGTAGAGGGTGCGTTTTTTGTTTTCCAGAGGCGCCGTCTATAGCCAAGAATACAGTTTCAGCCACACACACGTTACAGCCCGTTTCACAGGGTGGACCCACTCTTACATCCACAGATCGTAATTGTGACGATCTTTAAAACGATCAATCTCAAATTCAGTACCCCCCGATGTTATTTTATTTTATAACCGTCGTTGAATAGCCGACCCAATTTTTGGGTTTGCGATAACTAATGTTCAACTCCGTAGCCTTGTAATTTTGAACCCAATCCAGAAGACAAGGGGTTAAGTTCATAGTTATATTTGTTAACCGCAATTATATATTTTTAAAAGCATTTGTTTCGTCTTTCAGGTACTTACGATTAAATTTTTTTTTAGTTAAGTTTTAAGAAAAATAACTTAAGATTAGGAATCGAATAAAGAAAATGTACATAAACTGTCTCAAACTAAAATTTCCGGTATTAATTTAACGTATAAAAAATTATTTTTTACGTGGAATTATTTTTGATGAATGAGTCTTATAACTGCTCACAAATATCTTTTTAGTTCGCTCAAATTTCCAGTTGCAGAACAAAATACACAAAAAAAATTAAGAGTAAGGGATTCAAACATTCGATTGCAAACTTGACAAAACTATTGAAACTACATATTCTAGATTGCAGCTACCACACTTTGAGAATAAAACATTCGAATTCGACCAAAAACGAGTATGTTTTTTCAAATAAAGTATGTATATTTTTTACGTCGAATTTAGAAACTGAAGAATATTTTAATCGTCTTCGCACAAATAATCAATTTGCTAATTTAAACTTAAACCTTGAACTATTTAGATTGCATCTTAGTATGTCAAAATCCGATCGCTTAATTAAATGTTTTTCACGTGTTCAGCTTTTAATTATTTATTTTGAACACTGAATCATCGAATCCAACCAACGTTAAAATATCAACTTTATAAAACTCATTACAAAGAAGAACTATAACAACTCATTCACAAATGCAGCAATTTAATGGATCTTTCTGAATTCTTTTTGGATGTAAATTTAGAAGTTTCTTATTTTCGATTAACCAGACAACGCTGCTTTTCTGTTAAATACCACAGTTGTTTCTTTTTTTTAATAATTCTCTCTCATAACATAATAAAAGCTAAGATTAAAAAAAAATTTGAATACTCATAACGAAATATCATTCTGATGTGAGAAATTTTTTTGATCTCACTTTAGTCTTAACACAAAAAATCCACATTAGTTTTTAGTATGCTTGCCTGATTTTTATTTCAAATTAGGCAGGGGTAACTAAAATAAGGCAAATAATTATTAATCCCGTCTTCTGTTAAATTGGCAATATAATAGTTCGCATACCAAATTCTTTGAGAGTGCTACTTACCTGGTTCTTCTACTAAATTTTTTAATTGTGTAGGTGTATTCCTTTCAGTTTTGAACATGACTTCGTAGTGTTGGTCAGATCTGATTAATTTACTTTATTTTATTCACACAGTTCTGAAAACAGGTATTCAGCAAGTTGAATTATAAAACCACTTATCAAATGTTTTATACACACGTAAATATATCTTATCTTCGCTTGAAGAGTTGCCCATGCGTAGAACGAATATTCAGCTAGTATTTGAAAAAAAGAAAAGTTAACATGAGATAGAAACATTTGTGTTAACTTATTTTTGTAAAAAAATAATTAAGTAAACTAATGACAATAATGGGATGATTAC